GTAGCAGAGTTGCAACTTTCTAAAGTTTCTAAAAGGGCATTACACGATAAAATTAATATTCAACTCCAAAACATGGCCAATTTCAGCAGCGTAAAAGCTTCAAGGTTGTCCACCTGGCTTTATACTAGTAGTTCCATAATTTTAATTGCGTTCGTTAATTTTAACCATGGGGTCAATGATCATAACCCTCCTTTAAATCATTGACATGATGATTAAAATAGTGGTGGCAAAATGGATAAAAAAAATAGTTATTTACCTATATTATTTATCAAAAAATAGGTTGGATAATGAACTTTAAAAACGGGTCAAATATGAATAAGAATCATATTATCCACTTAGAAAATGGATAACCATTGGATAACTAATGAGCTTAACTTTATAAAGCTTCAAATTCGGAGTTCTTCAAGTTTGGGAAACTAGGAATTCTCCCAAGATAATCATATTTAACAAGTCATGGATAATATGGATATCCATATTATTCGCCATTAACCCATTTTTATCCATATTAAATATTGATCGGCTCGAATAATTTATTCATTTTTTCATTACACATTTTCGACTCACTGTCACCACCCGGATATCCTACCTTCGGAAATCGTGATGACGCATACTCGTGAAAGCTAGGCAAGCCGACAGTTACAGTTTTACTACCGTTACTATTAATTCAAACAGGAACAGGTATTAGTTAAAATAAGCTGATAATTAAGAAATGCGAAAATGATATAACAGTGTCACAACTCAAGCACATAACTACCCCATAGATCTGGTGTCACAATCCACAAATGACTAAGATTTACAACAAATATAAGTCTGAAAGAAGTACAACTGTTCTCAAAATAGAAGAGACAACAGAAAAACAAAAGCGGGGAAAGGGGGACTTCAGGCTCTGCAAACGCCAGCAGATCTACCTTGGTCTTCTTGGATTGAAGGCAGCTACCTCAAGCTACTCACAAGATCTGACACCGAGATCTACACAAAAAGTGCAGAATGCAATATCAGTACAACTGACCCCATGTACTGGTAAGTGTCGAGCCTAACATCGGCGAAATAGTGACGAGGCTAGGACACGACAACCATATAAACATGTGCAGTTAAATCATATACGAACAGAACAATAATAACCGGAAATAACAGATAAAGATGGGAAGGGGACCATGCTGCGGTGAATATCAAATTCTAACAGTAATCCAATAAAGAAGCATAATGAACACCATATTTGTATCAACATGAATAATGAAATAGTAACACGTGCAGGGCATCACCCTTCATGCTTTTACTCTCGTCCTCACCATAAGAAACAGCAGAAACGGCACGGCATCACCCTTCATGCATTAACTCTTATAATCATGGCACGGCATCACCCTTCGTGCATTAACTCTCACAAAATCGGCACGGCATCACCCTTCGTGTATTAACTCACACAATATCATGCACGATATCACCCTTCGTGCTTTACACTCTTCCTCACCCAAACAATAGAAACAATACGTCCCGGCAAGGGAATCAACAACAGGAACAATAACATCCCGCCAAGGGAATCAGTTATAACCAATCTCATTCCAACAGTTACTTCACAAAATAAATCTCAACTTGAGCCAATACTCAACAATGATCAATTACCAAGAAATTATCATAAGTCTTGTTCAACATTGATAATCATCAATTTAAGCATGGACAATACATAATAAGAGTCACAACAAATCATAGTTTAAGACTCACGGGCATGTCGACACCAATGTATAGATACTCGTCACCACACCTATACGTCATACTCAACACTAACACATAGCAAATAAAATCACAACACCTATTCCCTCAAGCTAAGGTTAGACCACACACTTACCTCAATTCCACGGACAAAATCAAGCCTCGGTTACCGCTTTATCTCTCGGTTCCACTTCCAATCCGCATGTATCTAGTCATATTTTATTTAATAACATCAATAAATGCTAAATAAACCAATTCTAATGCATGAATATAAATATTTCAATGTTTTCCCCAAAAAGTCAAAAATCGACCCCGGGCCCGCTTGGTCAAAACTCGAAATTCAAACCAAAACCTGACTATCCATTCACCCACGAACCAAATATGCAATTGGTTTTGAAATCCAACCTCAATTTGAAGTCCAAATCCCCAAATTTTGTTATTCCTAATTTCTACCCAAGAACACCCAATTTCCCATGAAAACCCTAGATTTTGAGATGAAATTATGTAAAAAGATGAAATAGATTGAAGAAAAATAGTTAAGATTTATTTACCTATGATTTGGGGAAGAACTTGCTCTAGAAAAATCGCCCTTAGGAGTTTTGGTTTTGAAATTTTGAAGAATGAAGTGAAAATCTCGTCTAAAAGATGTTTTGATCAGGTACAGATGTCGCAATTGTGACAGGAGCTTCGCAATTGCGAACTTGTTGCATGTCTGCTCCTATCTCAATTGCTAGCATTTTGTCGCAATTGCGATGACTCGCCCCTCCCTGATGACTTCACAATTGCGAATGGAGGTTCGCAAATGCGAACAAGGCAGGTCTGGGCTTCTTCGCAATTGCGATTAAGCCCTCGCAATTGCCAAGCCTGTTAGGCTCGCAATTGCGATTAAGCCCTCGCAATTGCCAAGCCTGTTAGGCTCGCAATTGCGAGATCAGAACCTGCAACAACACACCAGCTGCAACAGAAATTTTCCTTAAGTCCCAAAACTCTCTGTGGCCTATCCAAAACTCACCCGAGCCCGTGGGGCTCCAAACCAAACATGCACACAAGTCTAAAAACATTATACGGACTTGCCCGTGCGATCAAATCGCCGAAATAACATCTTAAACAATGAATTTACTCATGAAATTCTTAAAAATATTGAAATTTCCATTTTCTCAACTAAGGGTCCGATTTATACCAAATCTCTTCCGTTTTTTCACAAAATTTCACAAATATGACTTAAATACTATATCAAACATGTACTGGGCTCCGAAACCAAAATACGGGCCCGATACCAACGAGTTTAACAATTATTCAATTTCTAAGAATCCTTATATTTTTCAGCAAATAATTTTCTTTAAAAATTCTTTTCTCGGGCCAGGGACCTCGGAATTTGATTCCGGGAATACGCTCAAGTCCCATATTTTACAGCGGACCCTACGGGACCGTCAAATCACGGGTCCGGGTCCGTTTACCAAAAATGCTGACCGATGTCAACTTTAAAGGCCAAATTCAATATTTTTTTTAAATTTCACATAAAAGCTTTCCGGAAACGCGTTTGGGGTGCGCACGCAAATCGAGGATAAAGAAAATGAGGTTTTCAAGGCCTCAGAACCAGGATTTGGATTTTAAAATTCAAGATGACCCTTTGGGTCATCACACTTACCTATATCTTACCCGACTCACCTGTTTGCAATCCCTAAATTGAAATATGTTCTTGAGTTAATTATCCAATTTACCCCGGACATTTTCCTTAATCGTACTCCCTCCGGTCCAAAATAAGTGATTTTTTGGCCTTTTTCTTGTGGTCCAAAATTAGTGATTTTCTTAGATTTCAAGAATGAATTAATTATTTTTTCCTATATTGTCCTTGGAGTAAATAGTGCTGGAATATGTGTTAGGAGTATTTATGTGAGATAGTAAAAATTAATATGGTCAATTCCATTACTAATTAATGTTAAAAGGTGGATTTCTTAATCTGTGTGAAAACATCCAAAAAATCACTTATTTTGGACCGGAGGGAGTATCGTTTAACGAACATTAGATAAGAGCGCACTAAAAGAAGAGAATAATTGGAAGGGAAATACACTGAATTGGCACGCGCGGTAAGCAAGTTTAACAGTTGACAAGTGTCTCGCAATAATATTATTGATCGCTTTCATACTTTCACCATTACCTAAAGTTCATGCTTTATTAATTGTGCGAAAAGTTAAAACATTTAGGCAAAATTTCATATCCACGAGCTAGAGATCGTAATCCATTTAATTATTAACAATCTACTTTATCTAGGCTACATGAATCATTAAGTGTCGTGATAAAGCCTGATTAGACAACTTATGTTATTCAACCCAATTGTCTTGGTAGTTTACCTTCCTAAGCACAAAGAGAACGATTTCATGATGTCTTTACAAATATATCTTTTAGTCATATTACCTTCTGATAGAAGATTGGTAAAATATAACACATTAGGTATTTGAAGGATTATTTTTTGGTTTTCAAATTTTACTTGGTTATAAAAGATTATTTCCTCAGTAACCACATCAAACACAACGAAGAAAGCACCACTATTGAATTAACAAATTTTGAATGTGTGTGCCAAAGAAAGTTTTCCCGTTAGAACCCACCTTAAAAGTAATGGAGTTGCTTTACAAAACACCATAATAACTACACATAAATAAATTTTTGAAAAAACTACACATAAATAAAATAAAGTTAAACTCTACTATAACAGAATTATTTGTGCTATTGCAGTGGGTGGATTTCACATCGGTCAATTCCGCCCCATATCAGTGTCTCCGCTGGGGCATAAATTCCCGTTGACATAGTACAATAAGATTCCATGTTACAATTTGGGTTTTGACTAATTAAATAGTGGTGAACTATGGAGTATCGAAGTGATACTCATATGCAGAGTACACCATGTTTTTGTAATTCATGAAGTTAACTAATTGGAACTTGTATATATTTGCTGATAGTATTTTTAAATTTATTGTGTTGTGATTCAAATACATAACTCCACATGTAAGAATTTTGGATCTAACTCAAACTTCGAATACACTAGTAAAAATTTTGGACCTAACTCAAACCCCAAAACTAGAGTATTGCTCAATATATACCACGAAATTCTCACCCACCGATGTGGGAGACTTCATATTTCACTTAGGCTTGAAGGAACGAATAATTTCTAACTTGCCAACACTGTTTTCACTTTACTTTTAAACTGTAGTATATTATACTTTCAACTTTTACTTCTTCCTAATTTTTAAAAATTAAAGAGCAGCAACTAGCATGCAGTCGTGAACAGATTAACGAAAGAGCTAAAGAAATATTATTGGATTCAAGTCAGGACTTAAGCCTCTGAACATTACATAGCATCACAAAAAAAGGAAAAACAAAAATAATAAATGGAAAGATTTCATCACATCTATATATACTACTCCAGTATACTAAGTACACTATTTTCTTTTTGAAATTTTCAAAAATACCCCAAAAAGAAAAACTCCCATGAAAGCAGAAATTTATACATGCAATAAGCATATACAATCTTCATAGTGCTCCAAATCTTCGTTCTTTATTGCATTGATAGCCACCATCCACATGCATGAATAATTCTCAATATATAGAAATATTTATAGTTTGTATACTTGCGATATAGCTTCAGTTGCATCAATTAAGGAGCAGGCGAAGCTTGCCGCCTCAAATCCCTGTAGAATTTTGAAATAAAATTTTCAGCAGCTTCATCAACATGGCTATCATCTTCAACGTCTCTCAGTGGAAAAGGCGAGTCAGTAATCCTCAACTGCCTCACCGTCGGAGTTCTCCCAAATCCAGGCAAATCATTAGCCGGCGACGCATTTTGACTCTGAAGAATATCCAAAGCCTTCATCACAGCTGCATTCATGACAAAAACGTCGTCGTCATTGGTGGCCGGCGCGTGAAAATGGTGCGCGTGGTGCTTGCTGCGCTTGTTGAAGTTGAATGGAAGGTGAAAAGTTGGGTACGCTGGGCTGTTACTGCAACTGAATTCATACTCGTCGGGTGGAGCGTGTGAGAGATCTCCCACGTGCGAAGTGGGAGAAGATGAGGAATTAGACCGTTGATGGGTCATGTGGTGGAACATGAGATTATGAATTGCGGCTTTGCTAGCAATTTTGCTACGCTTCATAAATAAGTTGAAATCCAGCATAAATTTTCTCTTTGAAATGCCTTTTTTGAGCATGAAGAAAGCTACTCGTACTATGTTCCAGAATTTCTTTGCTATAATTGGCAAATTTTGATCCATTTTTTGTTAAAGGATTTGGTTCGAATCAGAAAGGTAGAATTTGTGATAGATTATTCGATGCTTTGAAATAGAGAGATATGAGAAAATAAATGTTTTGATTTGTTGGAATGGAAAATGTGTGAAAGTATAGGAGGGTATTTATAGGGCTTCCGTAGAGGAAGAGGACGCTCTCAAGTACTTCTCATTTATATTTTATTTAATTTTTGTTTGAAGCTACATTTTTGTGACAGGAATTATAAGTACTTTACTGTTAAGTTAAAGTGACACATTGAGGCGGTCCAAGTATATATCGAATTATATTAATTTTTTATGAGCTCAATTATTAATGTTGGCACTTGTTTTAATTTTGAAGGGGTTTAGTCGTTTTCATCAATCAAGTTTGAGATTTCGCCTCATCTTTCACATGAATCACAAATTTTCAGACCAATTCCACATAACTACTACTACTCTATATTACTTCTCTATGAAGAAAAAATTAACTAGTAATCCACTTCTCTACTTCCCCGAATGATTGTTCTAAAGTATTACTACTACTACTCCTTTTTTTTCTTTTTCTTTTTTTTAGTATAATTTGCAAAATATGGATAATAACAGGAAACTACAAATTCCCAATTATCAGCTTTTCATTATTAAATTAAAATCAACTGTAATTTACACAGAATAAGATCCTTCGCACGATTAACATAATGAATAATTGTGTTGTAGTTGTTACCTCTAACTCGAATTGAGAAACTCATGCATATATAGAGAGAGAGAGTTTCCTGATAGGGAAAGGGGAAAAAGAAATTTTTAGATCCTCAGAAAGTGATATTAACCTTTCACATATCGAAACGTGACCTATAACTCAATACTTGTCTAAAATTGTCCAATCTATTGTGAAACGTAAAGCGGAAAAAGGTTAAAAATATCCCTAAACTATTGAAAAAGGTTTAAAAATATCCTTCATTCATTTATTTGGCTAAAAATATTTCTCCATCCACCTTTTTTGTTCACTTATGCTCTTTGACCGTTAGGTCAGTACTGAATTAAAAATAATAATTATTTAAATTTCACGTGGCAACTTCTTATTGGCCAAAATTAAAATATCTAACCCATTAGAAAGACTCACCCATATCTACCATTTTTTTGTACTAACCCGCTTCAAACACTAACCTGATCCGAACAAAAAGTTCAAGTAAAAAACAGCCCCACTTCAATCAAACTCCATGGAACAAAAGTTTCCTGGAAGTTGCAGCGAATATATAGACGCAAATTTACTACGTGATTTTCTTTTTCTTGTTATGGCATCCAGTTCAATTTACATGATAGACACAAATTGCATTATATTCAAGATGAGTTTAATTTAATCATTTTCACGTAGCAGAAAGATCTCAAAGTGATTGATTGGAAAATATCAATAAACCGCTAGACTACCCCTAGTTTTTTGTCCCACATTATTGTTAAGAAAATCATTGACTCATTCACGTTAGGCTTTGCTTGTTTGTTTAGTTTGTTCATGAACCTTTATTCGATGATAATGCTATACATGAGATTAATCAAGAAAATGAACACATGTAAATTCATGGGTTAGATGGAAGTGGGGCGTCTTTTTCATTTGAACTTTTTATTCGGGTCAAATTAGTGTTTGGGGCGGATTAGTCCGAAAAATGGATAGATATAGGTAGGTCTTTCTAATAGGTTAGATATTTTAATTTCGACCCATAAGAAGTTGCCACGTGAAATAATTATTTTTTAAATTCAGTATTGAACCAAAAAGATGGATGGAAGGGTATTTTCAGTCCAATAGATAAATGGAGGACATTTTTAGACCTTTTTCTATAGTTCAGGGTAATTTTAACCCTTCTCCGAATGTAAAAGGAATTAAATTACGCATATGCAATAATATGAATAATTTTTACATTACTTAACTTAACCTTTTTTAACGTGAAATTATCCGTACATTCAATCGGTACAGATATACCATTAAAGCCTTGTTGCTGTTTAAGCAAACAGCCGCTATTCCTATATATATAGTATATTTTCCGTATCATCATGTTTAAAATACTAGGACAAAACGAAGATCATATGATTTTTTGAAGCACAAAAAGAAACCACGAATAAATTAGTAATAGTATATGGTTAAACTTGTCTTTTCTCAGTGTCGTCTAGCTTCCAAAACCCTAAATTATTATAGTGATCACAACTTTTAGCCGTTGGGAAAAACGATTTCTTAGCAAGGGAGGTTTCCCCAAACACGTGTCCCTTCTCGTCAAAGAAAGGAAAGAACTTCTATGCTATTTACCTAACCCATGAAATTAAACACTTGCTTTTGAGGAAAGCTCCAACTTGTGGGCATACCAAAGAGAGGAAACAATGATGAATTATTACTTTCTCTTCTTTTGTTTAACCATTCAATATTCAATATTCATTCACTCGACTCATTCGAATGTACACCACATAGTATGAATTTAAAAAAAAAATGCTCTCTATTTAAATTTTGGGATTGTTGCACATATCCCATCAAATCTAATATTTACTTTTTTTCAGCCTATATGCATATATATTTATTTATTTTTTTGGTTAAATTGCAAACTTTTATTTAACCAAGTAAAAATATGTATATTCACCCGCTCATTTGACTCTAGAATCGGGTCCTACAAAAGTAACCAATTTTGACACTTAAGTTCTACATCCAGAACTTAATATCTATGTTAATATGGATACCTATTTATCTTTTCTAAGATCCTCTCCATTTACAATAGCTTTCGCCTATATGCATATATTATACATTGATTATACACAATTATATATATACATGTATTATATATCTATCGACCATTTTTAGTTTTAAAAGATTAAATGAACGGCTATTTGAATTAATTCTTCTTAAATTTTTAAGTTGCGGCAATTGTGAGACTATGCTTGAGTATATTTAGCTTGTCTGAATTAAGGTGCATTTTGACTACTATTTTTCTTGGTTCTACAATATACAAGAAAGCTTTTGAAATAAACTCAAAACTCGAGAACGTTTGAACAATCAACATTTTTATGACTTTGAATATCTCTACTTTTTCCCAGTTCAACCGGGGTTTCTTAATTCTCTTAAACACAGCTGTTTACAACTAAATAACTATTAAAATAAAAAGGTAAAATAATAAAAAAAGATCATATATATAATACCAGTTGCTAAAGCTGAGCATTCGTTTAATATTTGCTTATTTTAACTTAAGGAGTTTCCCTCTCATGGTTTTGTTTTCGCTTTTTGAAGCTCACAACGCATTTTGAAGCTTTTAAAAGTGATTAACTAAATAGAGTAGCAATGTTTAGGCCGTATTAGTGAAAAGCAAAAGGATTTGCAATTTGCTGTTGTCTCTGATCGATTAAGTTACCTAATTCGATGTACTTTGCATTGGACTGTACTTGTTATCTATGTACCAAAGGACTACCTTTTCTGCCACAGAAAGGAAAAGAAACCCACTACTTAAGATAGTTCATGCAAAATTTCACGTGTTCTCTGCTTGAATAGCTGTTTAGCACAAATCTTATTCCTACTCCATTTTTAATATATTTATTTGAGAATGAAAAAGGTAAAATCCTGAAGAGATATTTGACAAGTTATAACACCATATATATTTTACATTATCAGAGTTTTTATACTAAACTAGATTATCCCCTTGCAGATTCTTGTTCATGATCGAGTTGTGCTCCTGGATGTAAAATATCTTAATACTTTTTCTATTTTTTTGTTTTTTGCTCCGAAATGGAATGGAGCAATTTCTAGCTGAAATGACATCACATAGCTACTTTTAGTCATGCTATTTAAAATATATTCACAGTTTATAATATATTTAAAGATTAGTCAATTTGCTCAAACTTCAGGACACAACATCCTGAAGTTTAAACCTCAAAGTGCAAACTTCAAGACTTCATTTCCTAAAGTTTGAAAATTGTATCCATTCAAATCTTATGTGCTGAATTTTAAATTAACAGTTCAGAAATTCAAGACACTTAATCATGAATTTCAAATTAGTAGCTCAAAAATTCCGGACCCTAAGTCTTGAATTTCAAACTAGCAGCTCAAAAATTCAGGATACAAAAATTCAGGTTACTTAGTCCTAAAGTTTGGATGAATTAGATAATCTTTAAATACATCATAAATTATGAATATATTTTAAATATCGTGCTTAAATGTGGCTACTTGTGCACTAATATGGGCAATAAGATAATGGCCCAGTTCCGTGCTCCTATATATATCTTATGGGCTGACCGGACATCTTTGATAACTTTGGGCCTCCTCTATCTCTGGTTCACGAAAGAGGAATACCCGATTAGGCGAAATATTTGATTTGATTGCCTCATTTTCCGGGAAGAATTCAAAACTAGTCAAATTTACAAGTGGTCATTTAAAAGTAGCCACAATTTTAAAAGTAATCGAAATTTAGCCACTTTTCATGTAAAGATAAATCTTAACAAAACTACTAGTCAAAATCCGGAAAAATACTCCAGTATAATATATTGGAGTTCCAGTATACTTATGCTGGAACTCCAGTATAATAAACCGGTCCAGCATAATATACTGGATATTGGAGCATCGGTGCTCCAATCTCTAGTATATTATACTGCAACTTTCCGCGTGTTGGAGTTCCAGCATAATATGCTGGAAGTTCATACACAGGTGCACCGATCTCTAGTATATTATGCTGGAATTTTCTGTGTTGCAACAAAATAGTGGCTATTTTTCAATGACTTTGCAAACGTTGGCTATTTTTGAATGACCAGTCTGAAAACTGGTTAGCCCGTGCTATTTTTACTCATTTTTCAGAAGTAGAAAATGAGCCAATCAAAAAGTCCTTAAGAAAAGCACGACAATAACTAGACTGAGCTATAGTCCCTTTGTCTGCTTGTAACGGTGAAAAACGTCACTTTTCATGCTCTCCGCTAAAAAATGCATCATATTATAGGAATCGGCAAAGACCTGGCACAAGTCTTCGAAGGAAGTATTCATCGCAATCATCACTACTTTCTATCGAGGGCATGGTATGCATCTTGTTTTCTGGTCTTGTTTAATAGATGTTGAGTGCCGCTTCACAATATGATATCCAACTTAATTAACCTCATAAGTCATAAATGTTTGACTTTGTAAAATGCCATAGTAATTTAGCGTATTCATTGTGTCATATATGCTGGTAACGTACGTGCATGTACCACTAATATTTCGGTAACTTCGTGTTTTGGAATAACTGACATGCGCAACAATAATGCCTACAATACAAAGACCTTTAGTTGTGAGACATAAATATAATACTTCTTATAAGATAGTCTATCATTAGATGCTACCAATAGATAATATAATTATGTCTAATCAAAGCTATTTTCTTTTATTCACCTTCACATGAAGAGAAGGGAAACGATCGATCATATAAAAGTTAGATATTTCTCAAACTTCCAACATCAGCCAAGAGAAACTTTAAGTGTATACTTCAGCATTAAGTTTCAGCCACACAAAGAAAGCCTCATCTAGTATTATATACAAGCTTCATTTTTTCGCATGCATTCATTGCAACTAATGGTTCTGATCATTTACGATGCAGCAATAATTTTATTCTTTATATACATATCAAGAAACCTGTGATTTGATGGAGACGTTGTTACATCCTTTTAATTAGTTACTGCCATAAACAACATGAACGATAAGTTATATATGTATGTATGTTATATCTAATGCCGGAGCCATGATTTGAAGTTTATGGATTTAGGATTGTAGTTTGTTTATGTTATTGGGTTCTAAATTAGTCATAATTTATATATATTATTTAATTAATTTCATAAGGCAAATACATGATTTGGGCCAAAGCTATTTGATTCGGCCGAACCGTATCCATCAGCTAGCTCCGCCTAATAATAACATGATAACTACAGTTTCACGTGAATAGGGGGAGACTGATGGTCTAATATTTGCATACGTATCCTTTCTAAAGTATGACTTTGGTCTTCTTTGGGAAGGGAAAAAAAGTTGGTTAAAACTTAAGTTGAATGGTCGATTGAGGCCAACTTGTGATGTCAAGCAAATTGATCTCTTTTTTGTAGTGGCTACTGATCATAGACGTACCTCAACCAAGGAAGTAGTTATACATGTGTTTTTTAAAACCATCGAAAAGAAAAAGTAAATGAAGGTAGCAAAAATGCATATTTAATTTATATTTTAAAATATAATAAATTCAGGTCATGCTAGATCTATTTTTTAATGCTATATTCAATTACTAAAAGAAAATTCCGACACCGAACATTGGAAAATAATATTTTCATTTCATAGTAAATAACAGCAAACATAATACGATGTAAACTATCCAATTTTTCAACTGATTTTTTATAGAATTTAAGTTTTAAGCATTGATAACCCATGCAACTTGTTATTATAGGTTAAAACTGCGTTGATGGTGTAAAAATATTTACATTATCGGTTATATATAACTTAAACTCTTTTGATAATTTTTTATTTATTATGTGAGTATAAATGTACTAAAACTTATAAAGTACACAAAAACTATTTCAGCTTGATAAATTTTTAGTTAGTGTAGTCGCAGAAATGGTTTTACTTGTTAAAAAGTAACTACGCCTCATAAAACAAGATACATAATTATCTATTTATTAAACTCGGTGTAAATCAAGAATATTTATGCATTGAAAACTTTTAATGTGCATCTGAAGGAGGATAAGTATTTGTTATTCGTCATTTCTTTCTTAACAATCTATAATTTACATTTGAGCTCAGTGAAATTAATGTATTTTTGATGTCCCAAAGCAATATAGCAAATAGAGCAAAGCGTGGCATAAGATCATGCACGTACCTTAAACTATCCGTGCAATATTGATTGATTTTTTAAAATTTTCTTAACTATCCGTGTAATTTAATTAATTACATTTATATTAGGTTGTTTGGCTGATTTTTCATGTTACGAATTTACTTGTTTCCCTTCTAATATATACTATAGAGAAGTTATACAATGAAAACAACAATAACCCAGTGAAATTCTACAAGTAGGGTCCAATGAGGGTAGCGTGTACACGGACGTTATTCTTAGCAAAATAAGATAAAGGTTTATACAATGAAAAATCTAGTAAATTCAAGACAATTCATGCAAAGTAGAAATGAAAAGTGACATGTAAGTTCCCATGGTCCACAACTTAGTAACTTTCCAGCTTCCAACTTGAAAAAACAAACAGCAGCCAACAACTATAAATAGCAACCTACAATCTTCATCTTTTCCTATCCTTAGTTACATGATCTCAACTCCATACACCCATTTATATAATTAGCAATATTCTTTCCAAATTAAAGTACATTTTTCTTCTCAAATGGCACCACATGGAGAGACAATTCCCAGTTCCAACAACATTCGAACAAAAAACCTAAACAAACCTCCACGTCTCTCAAACGATAGCCTAAAAAGGACAATGTCCGATATCTCGTTCGATTGGATGAACAAAGAAGATACTATTGATGAGTCAAATCTGCCTCCAATATCCGAAGTAGAAAATGCAAAATGCGAGTGTTGTGGAATGAGTGAAGAATACACTTCCGAATACATTAATCGTGTTCGAAAAATGTATTCGGGTAAGTGGATATGTGGACTTTGTACTGATGCAGTGAAAGAAGAAGCAGGAAAAAATGGAGGAAAGAATGAAGAAGCATTAAGTATTCATATGAATGCTTGTAGTAAGTTTAATAAATTTGGTAGGGCATATCCAGTTCTTTATCAAGCTGAGGCTATGAGAGAGATGTATAAAAAGAGCACTAAGGGAATAATGAGGGCTAAATCTATTAGTCCAAGGGACAGAATTATTCCAAAGAAGGGTGGGATTACAAGAACAAATAGTTGCATTCCTGCAATTACTAAAGAGATGAATGATCTTAATATTGCAACCTAGCTAATTAATATTATGGATAAGCTTCGGAGTAATTAAACAACTAATTATTACCCAAGTGAGGTTTTTAGGTTTGTTACCCAAGTTTTTAACCTTTTACTCATCATGTTATTAGCTTTTTAACGTCATGTTTACAGTCCAAGTTACTGATCTGACGTTTATTCACCCTCAACGGAGTTGTGCTAATAATAAAGTTAAACTTGTACTGCTATTGATCTCAAGACTTAATTATTTTGTAGTAAGTCTTATCTGATATTGTTTGTGTTTGAAGTGCTTTAATTTAGCCTAGCAAAAAAAGAGAAAAGATCAATGCTTACACGGTAATACTTGTATGTATTCGGCTTTTCGCTTAAAAAGAAAAAAAAAGATGCATCGAACTATCCCACATTCACGCAAGGTTCAGGGAAGGGCCGCATCCAAGGGGATAGGCTATGCATCCTACTTTAATACAAACATTAATGGTTGATTTCACGGCTCGAACTCATGACCTATAGGTCACACGCTGAGTTGCCTACTTTTTGTGCATGTGCAGTAAAAGAAGGTTTTGTGCAATTTTAATACTAATCGGGGGGAAAAAATTCCATCATCATATATTTTTGTTATTTCATCTTTCATGAGCTTGCATCAACTGTTTTCTAATTATGTTTATTTAAGCGAAAAGAAAGGACAAAATGATGGCTGCTACCTCAGCTCCAATAGTTGAATATGAATGAAAACAAAGAAAAATCAAGTCTGATCGCAGCAAAAGACCGTAAGCAGGGGAGATCCCTGTTGTTAGAGCAACTGTAACCTCCGTTCCAATTTATATAAACCCGTTTGACTAGACATGAAGTTTAAGAAAAATGAGACTTTTTGAATTTGTGGTCCTAAACAAATCAAAAAGGGATCCAGAGTATTTGTGTGGTTATAAAAGCTTCTCATTAGGGATAGAATTGAAAGTTTAAACCAAATTGTTTCCAAATTTAGAAAAGAAACATTCTTTTTTAAACGAAAAAAAAAATATGTGCTACAAACCCAAATAACACCAAAGTATATTGTATTGATAAATTGGCAGTAATAGGAACAACTCAGCTAAAGGAAATTACAAAGAACTCAAACACCACAAGAATGGGGATGAGAAGACACAGAGAGAAGGAAGATGAGAGGCACAGAACTTTCACATAATACAAGCCTACTGTAATTCTTATTCTACTGGCTATTTATAGGGAAGCCAAACAAAGTCTGTTAATTTAACTTGGTCAGGTGCATGTGCATTTTCAGCTATTTCGGTATTCATAACAATATGTTCACATAAACTGAAACGGAGGGAGTAGTAAAATTTTGACTACGATGAAAGTGAAAGATCTTAACAAAAAATGAAAGGCTATCGCCGTATATTTTTGCTCGTTGCATCGTTCCTGACCTTGCTTCACTGATTTATATTCATGTTTCTTTTCGAACATGAAAGGAAAGGACAAAATGAAGCTATAACGTCGCGCTAGCAATTGAATATGACTGAAACCACAGAAAATTCAAACATGACCCTAGCAAAAGACTATAGGCAAGATCACTGGTTGGAGTAGCTGACCAAGATAGTTACACAGGTTCCAGTGAAAGATGGTTCACACGAATCAAACACGTGGTTCATACCCATGTCATTTACTTAAAACCTTACTCAAAACAAGCTTTAAATTATTAGAATACAATTTTTTACCCCTCAAAACCTCCCTTTAAATGGTTACTCCTAGTGATAGTAGATTATTAGCCAGTTGCGATTATCTTCCTTTGCCCTTCCATGCAAAAAGTATATTAAGTTCACATTCGTAATAATCCCATATCCACTCTCCCAATAGATATACGGGACTATTTCAAGTAGCACAAGGCATCAAAGACATAGCATAAACTTCCCGAGTAGCAAGGAAAGCATAATAAACAAGTCTCACAAACCAAACTAGTTCAAAATGGTTCTTAGGGAGATATTTAAGGGTTCTTAGGTTTGAGTTTATTGATCCCTCAAAAGCAGATCTAGACAAAAGTATCTTAGACAAACGACCAGTTCACAAACATGAAACAGATGCAGTGAGGACTATCTTCTTCATTCATAACTTTCCACGCCACTGCTCTCTCGTAAGAAATAGGTCTACTCATGCTCGACAAGCAAATGCCCCCTTGAAGACATGCAAAACCCTGTCAATGAATTATGGCAATATAGTTAGAACTGCTGCGATCGTGATATTCAATATCAAGGAAAGTTCAACATGACTAAGAAGCTACTGCTCACTTTTTCGTCTTAGAAAGATGAGTAATCAAGAGTTTTGATGCAACTCTTACTGTTTGCGCCAATGTTCCCCTTCACTGATTAATTTTTATTAGGGTGAGCGTATTTTATCTTGTGAATTCTTGCCGACCTTCTAAGACAACAACAGCAACCCAGTGTAATCCCACAAGTGGGGTGGGGAGGGTAGGATGTACGCAGCCTTAGAGAGACTTTCTAAGAATTAGGTTTATTTCAGGTGTTGGCGTAACTGGTAAAGTTGTTGCCATGTGATCAGGAGGTCAAAGGTTCGAGCCGTGGAAACAGCCTCTTGCAGAAATGCAGGGTAAGGTTGTGTACGATAGACCCTTATGGTTCGGCCCTTCCCCGGACCCCGCGCATAGGGGGAGCTCTTTTTTTCAGGTGTTACTGGATCAGTTTGACGTGGTTAACATAAGCACACTGTAATCACATCTACAAGACCACCCAATCACTTCTTTGCTACATTCAATTTTTCCACATTTAAAGGAATACTAACCTGTTGCATTATCTGTGGGAACTCAGTGCAGAGGTTCTTCTTTCCGTGATCATCGAAAACTTTCTCCAAGGTAATATCTTGAAGTGCAACCAATGTTGTCTCAAGCATGTCAAGACCAGCCTGATTTGCAAACGTGAAAACTGGCATAGCCTGCATAATTATTGAACTTAAGAATTCAGTGCTCGGAAGAACTAAACTTGCAACCAAAATAAATAATGAAAAGCTGTCAAAATCCCTAATGACAAATCGGAAAAAGTTTCTTCTAATTTGGCGGCATCAGAGGGCTGCATAGAGAGTCCCCAACAAGCAAAAGAATGATATGAGATTGACATGAGAAAGTGCTGAAACCTTAGCAGAGCAGCAGATAATAGCATCCGAGTGATGCCATAGGCTTTTGAGGATTGATTCACTTCCTTCAGCAATCGATTTCAGAAGTTCCACACCCAAAAAGCACCTTAAGAAGCAAAAAAAATAATTAAAAAATAATCAAGGGACATCTATGTCAAACTCCATAACTCAATCAGAGGCAGACAAATCAAAGAAAGAAATCAAGCTTAAAGAAAAGGAGGGTCACACCCCTTTTTTAGAGGCAGGTAACCATTTTTTTATATCACAACAAAGATAAATCAGAGCGAATGATGAGCCAATTTCTGGAAAATGAGACACATGATAATCTAAACATTATACATATAAACCAACTAAGGTTGCCATAAAGTCATGTATATTATCCAGAATTTGATATAGTAAATCACATGCACAATAGCTGACCTGTGACAATCATGACTTAAAGAGTGTTCCTGTTTTAGGCACACATGCAAGTATATACAACAAACCTGTAACTTTGGAAGATCCAACGAGCTAATGTATGTGCTTCAGGAGTACCCAATGGCAGACGAAGACCTCCATGGGAACCCAAGTGAGACGGTGAAAGTGCTAATGCAACCCTCTGAACAGATGAGATAATGCTTCGAACATACTGTCGAGCCATTGAAGCAACATTCTCTTGCATGTGGCTTTCAAATGCAAATTGAAAAGCAATTGTCATGACAGATCTTGATGTGCCACCATTTGTGTGAAGGTCATTGCCCACTTTGTTTTCAGCTGGGCCAGTCTCAAGAGCAGAAGTAAGATCAAGGGTGCGGTTCGGACTGGAGGATTCCTGCACAAAGTTCCATATTAGCAAAAACATGGAGGATTAGAAACCTCAAAAAGAAAAAGTGCTAATGGGAGAATACAAATGCTAACCTTTCCAGATTCGAGAGAAATAATGCGAAACCCAGACGGGAGCAATGGTGCATCATCAGCAAACGAGGCATCAATAGGAGCAAATATGAGTTCGGCAGAGGTTCCAACAGCGTTTTCATCCATTCCACTGCATAGCTGTCAAAAAACATGTAAAGTGACTATTACCACAAGTATCAGACACAGGTAAAAAAGCAATACGAGAGCAGAAAATATTGCAGCCTGCTCAGAAACAATGAAACGCCCAAGTCTCATTGGAATCAAATTCCACAGTATCTGTTTCCAGATTCCTATTTTAAGAGGAGAGCAAGGAAATCAAAAGAGTGGTTATAAACCATGTTAAGAGTCAACAGATGCCCACAATACTCAGCTTTCTACCACAGAATTGACCAATATGAGTCCAGTTAAATAGTCATGGTGTGCTAATATAAGTGTTAAGGAGTCATCGGCCACAATGCAAGAAAGTGAAACATTAGATCATGCATAATGAGTTTTGCCAAACAAGATAGGAGATTTATTATCCAAAACGGATTAATCATGGTTCTAGATAACTTCTCAAAGCCTGTGAATTAACTAAGACGCTCCAAAACAAATATGTTAGCAGCACACATATTGATTAAAGTTGCGTTTTTTCCATACTACATAATACACTTTAAATTTCTAACTTTTCCATACTAAAAGTTTCTTTTTTGACTTTGCTTGTTGATGTAATGCCATGTTCCACACATCAGAAAAATCTTTCAATTCAAGGAAAGACATTCTCATATTCTGCCATTAAAGTAGATGCAAATATAGAAACATTGTCTTCAAATATATAATTTTTGATAAAATTAGATTTCATTTTATACTGCACCAGAAAGGTTGAAAATATGGACAGCACAAGGACTAAATTTACATGGGGAAAAATAAAACTTACTTGCAACAGAAACATATCTCTTGGCATTATAGCATCCTCAGGAGAATGGCCAACTCCTTCCAACTTAATGACTTCCAGCAACTACTAAGCAAAAAAGGAGCACATCATCAGAAACTAAGACAAGAAAATCCCCAAGAAAGACTGGAACAGTTTTAGGCATGCAAAACAATGTAAGATTAAATAAATCAACTAAGCTTGCCTCTTCATGCTCAACAGTATGTGCCAGTGGAAGTATCACTTGACCCCCAAAGTTACCAACTCGAGTCCCAGGAAGGCAACAGGGACCAACTTTGATGGCAGCAGCAGAGTAAGCATCAATATTGTTGTCTGCCCATTCAGATCGATGCTCCCGCAGAAACCTCAGAAGTATAGCAGGAGGCACATTCTAAACAATAAAAATAAGAAACCTTTATTTATCCACTTGCACAAACAGGAAACCTGCAATCAAATTTTATAGGCTTCAAAGTATTGAGTGAAGTGAACAGACCTGTAGAAGCATTGACGCTTTTGCACACATAACCGCATTGCTCAAAGATGAAAATCCATTTGCAAAAGAAAGGTTTAGGCCCATCAATTTGTCAGGAGAAGAGTTCACAAGGATGGTAATATCATCCATTCCGTCACTACCGAGCATTGACCAACCCTCATCAGTCAAACCATTCAGAGCCTCATTGAAGCCTCTGCCAAAATAATTGATTTTAATTACTTAAAAAAACTCTAGAACACTGAAAGAGCATCCACCAAAAAGAGGATTTCCAAACCTGCTCAACCTCTGGCTTAATGCGCGTAGAGCTGCTGGTCGTCTTCCCCAGTTACTGACATTAGTCTGTGAAACCTCTTGTGCAATCTGTCTGAGGTATCGTAGAGCCTGCGAAGAGGATGCGATTTGAGTGTCCAGAATGCAAATAGAAAGTGGGCCTGCGAAGAGGATGCGATTTCCAACATGTGGTATTAACCAATTTGAAAGAGAATTCTTACTGCCACTGTCGTCTTCTGAGCTAGCACTGCTGATGACTCATAAAGTGGGCGCAACACTTCCGGCACACTCCATGCCTAACAATAATAATATCGTCAACCATAACAGCGAAGGAGTAGGCACAGTGAAACAGAGCAGGAAATAATGGACTACAACTCTACCTCTAAATTCATATGATCGACAATGTGGATAATTGAACCACCTCCCTCACAAGGTCTAATCAGGTATCCACTAGGTAGGATTTCTGCTCTCACAAAATTCTGAACTGGTGGCATACTAGGACCATTTTGAGTATTTCCAAGTGACCTTTCACACACCTAGGCATTTTATCAAATGAGACATGTTAGTTCACGCTGCATGTGAATAAACGTAAAGAAAGTGAAGGTGCAACTGGAGAAAATTCTCAAGCTTTCTATGATATACAACAGCCGCTAAGTTATACCAACATGGATTGCTACTTCCTCCGACACATTTCAGTGACATTGGAGAAATTTACACATTGTCCAGAGACTTCACAAATTATAATTTGTGATATTGGAAGAGTACTAACTAGACAAAATAAATCCTTACCACGAGACTGCCATCATCCATAACAGTTGTATACCGCAACAGCCAGAAGTCACGGGCAGGTGCCAGCGTCGTTGGTGCATAAAGCTAAAAATAAAGTATTTTCTCAGTTCAAGAAGGTATAGAGAGAACAAATACACAAACACGAGAAGTAACATTACAGTAACCTACCTGCATGTAAAGAAGTTCAATGGTTCCACCATTGGCAGTAGGCAGCACATTGAGAACATCAACGGCCCGGCAGTCGCGAAACCAAGAGGGGCGATCCTTAAGGATTTCAGCAACCTGGGGAGATCTCACAGAATTAATTTCATGTTAGAGTGCCAGAAACATAAATTTAGAAATAGATGATCAACTTACCCTCGTTGGCTCTAGACCAACCAGGCCACAGGCTCGTGCTGCCACGCCCGTGCAACCATGAGAAATAGCAATGATTCCAATGGAATCCGGACCAGGCTGTTCATTTCAACAGAGAGATGATTAGATAGAGTTAAATCAGTACCGAGAGTTTGGACCAGAAATAATATGGCTACAAAAAGAAGGAAAAAAAGGAGACATGAAAATGTGTCATGATACACTAATGTCCTCACAGTTTCTGAATGATTGGTATTGATCAAGCAAATAAGCAATAAGCCCAAGGGAGGACAACTTTTCTATAAATATGAGCCTGAGGTCCGACACTAATGCACCAAAATGTAGTAGTGAGAATACCATCCCAAGACTGTAAGATTGTGGCATTTTATAACTCTTTATAAGTTAATTATGGTATGACTTATATTAATCTCCGGCATGAGAAGATATGTATGATAATTGAAAATTAAAAAAACCTGATCATAATGATGGCTGTTAATAATACTCTTTATATTGTTTTTAACATATTATGGGATCTGTAAGAGGTTCGCTGCTTAGTGCATAACTTTAAAAAATATGATTGGTTTTAATTACATAAAAAATTGTAAGCTAATAATAACCTTGGCCTATTTCCATACCTAACTCCAATTTAACATTTAGTTTATAATCTATCTTATGTACTAAAACTAAAATCGACATAAATTTTTCACAATTAATTACTAATTTTATCAAATAAAACACATTTCTAAGAAAACAATAGGAAAAAATGAGGAGAACAAGCAAGAGATGGTTAGTTAAACAGATAATAATACAATGGAGATTTTCCATTTTAAGGTCGTATGCCAGTATAGTTTAATGCATGGATTGCTGCTATTCAGTTTCACATTGGCTTTATGTTAAAACAATCTGATCCTTCCATTTCAATTTATGTGAACCTATGAGGGTTAAACTGACTAATTTTTTGAGTGAATTCTACCACAAGTATTTTCAAAATTTTTGAATTAAAATTTACACATTCAAAAACTACAAAGAAAGTATTACAAGTTACAATAGTTAGCAATTCAAAATATTCAAAAATATTTGCAATAAACTGGTCAAGGAGAATCTTGTTTGACTCACCTAATAATAATAGGTTCACATAAATTGAAATGGATGGAGTATAACTTACAGCACAATTAATCGAGTACTATAAGTACAATAACATGAAAGTGACAACCAAACCATTGAATATTAATACAAAATTAAAGATTCCTGCACCATCAAGCCACCTAAAGATGATAATTAGAGTAGTATGCTATATGCTAGAAAATAAAACGTTTTACCTATTATATCATTAAAATAAAACGTTTTACATGTTTTATGACAATATGGGGTTGGTTTGTAGAGTGCATTACAGAAAATAATGCATGCATTAGCTTTGCGTATTAGTAATACCTTGTTTGGTACACTCTTTCAACCTATGTATAACTAATACAAGCATTAGTTATACACCCTATTCGTTATTATCCTATGTATAGCTAATGCATAGCAAACCATGGTGTTAGCAATACCAAGGCTATTAATGCATGTGTTAGCATGATTAAAGACAAAATTATACTTAAAGTCCTTTAAAGCTAAAGAATATGGAGCGCCCGATAAACCCCAATTGCATCATAGGAATCACAAAAAACGGTTCTTTCGAATAGTGGATTTGTTTCTGTATTTTGTTGAATCTTTTTCACGGCTCGATAGATTAGATAATTTGATAAGCCAATGATTTTTTTCCGTGTGTCAAAATACAGTCTTTTTTTGAATAACTAATTTTCTTAAAAATTATGCCATGCATTCTAATTTTTAATATACCACACCAAACAATGGATAAGAAATAATCTCTGCATAACTAATGCTTGCATTGCTAACCCATGTATTACTAATTCCTGCATAACTAATACACCTTATTCAACACTATTCTTATACACACTATCAAACAACCCCTATATGTGTATATAAGTTAAATTTTTAATTTAGTTAATTGTGAAAAGCCATTATTTTAATTTAAAAAATACCTTCATTCCAGGCATTTGGACCCACTCAACAGCAGTTCCAGTAGCCTTTGAAAGAAACTCTGCTAAAGTTTCTTCTGCAATGGACAAAAGCCTGGAAAAGCACAACAACAAAAACAACAACAAAAATTGGCGTAAGGCACAAACACAAAAAACAAGGAAAATGGTCACAACTCAGAAACCACGATGTTTACAAGAAAAGGACCCAACAACTGTAATCCCACTCACTAACCCTGCAGGACTAGCATCCCTTGGCGGATGCTGAGATGTCAAGTGGTGTTGACCACTCGTCACCACTGATTCACAACTCGTATCTTTTGTTGCAAGCGTTGTCTGCATTTATAGAAAAAAACAAGCCTTATTATCTTGATGATAAGGAACAACAATGGTTTTACAGATATAGGGGGAAAATTCTTACACTGTGAGTTTGCCTGCGAAAGTAACCATTTTCATAAACCAGTTGTGAAACTTGCTTCTGCAATCTGTCATTCTCTTCCATTAATAGCTTGTTCATTGCCGTCAGCTTCCTATTCACAGCTTGAAGCCGTGACGCCTCTTTCCTCTGTTTCTCTCTGCATCTACATTTATCCAAAATTGAATAAACAACAAAAAAATTTGTCATTCACACATAATGTAGGGCAACCCGGTTCATGCATATTGTTGAACAAAGAAAAAACCTAGAGAAAATAGCTAGGAACTCGAAAAATGTAATATTTAAAGCATAATTTAGGAAATAAAGGGGGTAATATTTAACAAAAGAATATATATATAAATATAAAAAAAATAGTAGAGTAGAAAATTGTACAAGTAGTACCTTCGATTCTGGAACCAGACTTTGATTTGTTTAGGTTCAATATGGGAGAGAATAGGACATTCACGGATAAGTTGCTGACGGCGCATGGAACTAGGTTTAGGGCAATCATGATAAAGCCTCTCAAGTGCTTCAACCTGCTCAGGTGTATACCGGACATATTTTCCATTATCCATTACTGACGACGTCTTACCATCCTTGCAGGAAGCCATTGCTTGATTTACAAATATGCCCTTCAAAATTTTACTTCTCAAAAAACAAGCACAGCACTTTGCTTCAAGCACTTGAGACTTTTAGCATTATTCTTGTCTTTTCTTTTCTTTGTTTGGAGCTCTGAACAAAATGAGAATGTCTGTGAAATGGAGTTGGAAATGACCTTTTCTTGGTAATACTAAAAGAGAGAATAGTTCTCGAAATGCAAGAAAAACCAATTACCAAACTGAAACGGCACTATATTTCCTTGGCGTCAAGCACTAGACAACTTGTTGTATCTTTCGATTTCAGAGCTTCCAATAAACTAAAAATATACTCACTTATCTTTCACCATTACCAAAAAAAAACGAAGTCTCCTTGTATTTTTCCTTAAACTCCTACTAATACTTCTCCATTATTCCTTAGAAATTTCCAAGCTTCTTTTTCCTTTCCCTTAATACAACCAAAACAGTAAAGCTAACACCAACCAACCAACCTTTGGATCTTGAAACAAGATAAGAAGTACTGGGATATTTGCTAAAAGATCCAAACTTTAGGCCTCAGAAGAAGTAATCAAAAAACTAAGAAACAGATCTTCATGGCTATGAATTAGTTTCCAGCTGAAAATTTTAGTACCCAAACTTTGTAGTAGCAGCATCTTTAATTAAAGGGTTTGAACAGAAAAGTAAACCAACTTCACCAGCCCCCTACCAAATTTTCAAAGTACGGACGCCATGAAAGACAACAGCGGAAGATCTTGTAGGCATAATGATATTATCAGAGAAGGGATCTTGAATTGAATACAGTGAATGAAATTGAGGGGTGTAAAAGTAAAGGTATAAACCCCGGATTTGAGAGCGACTGAGAGAGAGAAATAAGGGTTTTTATTTGGATTTGGGAAAGTGGTTTTAGAGGTATCTACGCAGAAGCAATGGGTATATCAGTGGTCCGTCTGTCAACTTCTTTCGGCTTTAGTACAGTGTGGGGAGAGAGGATATTCTTGGCTTCTTTTTACTACTCTCTTCAGGCCAATCACCCTACGCCTATTACTATACTAGTACTATTCTGCTTGCTGACCGCTCTTCATCTCTCCACATTTGGCATATACTTCTGATTAAGACGTTGTTATGACCATTATACCCTTTACTTCCCAATTTATTGAATGTCTTATTTTTAGTTATTTTTATGTCTTGTTTGGATGATTTCATATTATTTGATGAATATAATGTTTGAATAAATTATATTATTTATCGTTGTTTTATGATATCATGCACCAGCAATATGAAGAATAAACTTGTAATATTATAAAGAAAAATTATAATACGGGGTAAAATTATTATATAAAAAGGTAGAATACATAATAAAACAAAATTATTTAATAATAATGAAGGATGAGATGAAAGAAAAAAATAAGGTAATGATGCGACCACACTAAATCGGCTGTTACATAAAGTGGCACATTTCGTCGGTACGTAATGACAGATTTAACGATACGATACAACAAAATTTAAGTAACAATCAAAATAAACATCGTGTTTAAAGTAGCAATATGATACAATACAATAGGTAACAACCATCCAAATAAGCCGTAAATTCTTGAAATTATCTTTTACATTATTAATTAGTTTTATGAGATAAATTATTTATGAAAATACTTTTCCAATATACTTTGCATCATAAAGAGCAGAATTTTAGTGAAACAAAAATTATTTCAATTCTAGAACGAAAGAATTTATAAAATTAGAACTAAAAAAAGCTAGGTTCTTATTTAATAAATGGCGAAATAACTTTCTTGTCACTTAAACTTGCATCAGTTTGTAAAGTTGATATATGAACTCTTGGGTTTCTCATTTGAACACTTTTACTTGAAAAAATGGCTACTAATGAACACTTATAATGGTACGTGTTATTCAATTGCTGCTGACATGGATTTAGTTTAATATTTTTTATAGCCACATCATTCATCATTCACATTTTGTTGACCCGCAATTATAGCAAAGACGAACATATACAACTACTGACACTTGCATTTTCCGATTAAAAACCATCTCACTGTCCCCTTGTCGGCGACTGGCCAAAAGAGCAGCTGCTAATAGGGAAGATGAACACAGACACAACAGCATTGGCAAAGCCAGAATACCCAGTTATAGATCGAAACCCACCTTTTACTAAGACTGTTGCTAATTTCAACACCCTCGATTACCTCACTACCATCTCCGGTATCTTCGTCACTGTCAGCTACTTCTCCGGTAAACTCATTTTTCTGCTTTACTTTTTATCAATCAAATCTTAAACCAATCAAATCTCTAAGAAAAAACCCGTTAACAAATCATTGACTCATATCCAATATCTGGGATCCACGTCTGATCCATCGAACACCACCCTCTTTCTTCTTTACTTTTTTTTCACTTTCCAAACCTAAATAAAAAGTTCCAGAGTATATATAGAGAGCAAAGGTTATAGAAAATAGAAGTATTATTCCGATTGATTGCATTGAATTGAAGCTGGACCAAAACGAATTACGGAGAGAAAGCTACAATAAAGAGAGAAATTGGGGAACCCTAGACTGAACGTGAAAGAAAAGAGACTATGTGACTGAAGTCGATCGAGGGTGTGAGGATATCTTAATTATGTATGCGATAATAACGAACAAAGGTGGGAGGGAGGGGAAAGGGAAAGGTCTTTCTTTTTTTTGGTCTCATTTATATTTTATTTTGATTCTCATATTTTTTTAATAAAAACAATACATTCCGCACGCCTTTGCAGCGTGATCTGCACATAATTTAGCCATATCAGTTGCGCTGCTTCCACATAGGCATAGTCAACAGTCAAATGTGCTTATTAGTATCCATTGCATCAAGTTGGAGTGTTCAAATGGGAAAAGTGCAAGTTCATGTATCGACTTTTAAAAAGCACTACAAATTTAAGTGGTCAGGAAGCCATTACACCTTTAATAAATATACTTCGGATCATATAAAGTACAACTGTAGTAAAATAAAAAAGTTTTCGGAACTAGAATAAGAAATATTACAAAATCATAATTCTAGTAAAAAAGCCAGACATGTTGCGTAAATTTTGGTGTTGTTCGTAACAAATATTATTTTAATTATATGATTATTTTTGCTAAAAGTCTGTAAAAAATTATTAATATGAAAATTTTAAAAATTTATTTATTTCCATTCAAATTATAAGTGATACTGAAAATCGTTGTTTCTAAAGAAACTTACATAGCATTGCATGAAAACAATAGAAAAATATTAACGTGGTAAAATTGTAAATTTAACAGAAATTATTAATCTAAAAAGAAAAGGGCTTCCCAAAGCTAAGAAAAGGTCAACAGAAAAAGAAATTTTAAAATCAAGTTAATGAAAAAATAGAAGGGCAAAAGAGGGAAAGGAGAGTAAGATATGGAAAGGAGAGAAAAAGAGAGGCATGGGAAGTATGCGTGGGTCACAGAGGACAGCATGATGAGTGTTTTTGCATGCGCCTCTGATTCTCTGATTCTCTCTCTCTCTCTCCATTTATTAATTACTCTATTTACTTTCTAAGCCGAGATACACTACTTTTAACTACTCTGTTGTATTTGTATACATTATACTTCTACGTTGTACTAGGTACAATAACCAGCTTTTCTACTAGGTATATTGTACCATATACGAATTTAGTAGTGGTGGCCTGTAAGTCACTCTGCATACGACATAAAAGTGACAGAAGTTACGTGACATGACAAGAATCATGTCACAACAAACAACACATATGCTATGACTTACATACACGACAAATAAGATGGCGACGAGTTGCTGGATCGGTGTCGTACGTCCTCATTTTGGTATTACTTAGACATTCTTTGCTACATTTTTTCAATTTATGTATTATTAATGCAAATACTAATTATATAATATATTTAGTATTATTCTATGTATAATTAATACATAGCAAACCATAGTACCAAGACTGTTAATGCATGCATTAGCATGATTAAAGATAAATTATCCTTAAAATACCTTAAAACTAAAGAATATGGAGGGTATTTTTGAAAACAATTAATTTTCTTAAAAATTATGTAATGCATTTTAATTTTAAACACACCACATCAAACTATAGACAAGAAATAATCTTAGCATAACTAATGCTTGCATTACTAACCCATACATTATTAATCCCTATATTACTAATACACCTTATTCGGCACTATTCATATACAATCTACCAAACGACCCCTAAATGTGTTATCATTTGCGCGGTTCAAATGGGATAAATGTTTAATTAGTTTGCTCAATTTTGAATTTTGGATACTATTCGTATAGCATGCCTCTTTACAATTTATAATTTAAGAAAATGACCTTTTTAAATGTGTTATGTGTAAAAAAAAAAATCTCTTATGTGTAAAAATAAACTTCTCATGTGTAAAAAAAATTAATTGACCCACAAATCACATCCTTTCTTATGTCAACTCATAATCCCTGTAGCGGTTGTAAGAGTAGACAAGAACATTTTGAAAAGAATAATTAGATTTTTCAAAACAAATTTGGGAATTTATGGCCAAACGTTGTTTGACCAAAAAGTGTTAAGCCCTTTTTAGTTAAACCAATTTTAATGAATAGATAAGGAGTGAATCCAAGTTAAAATTAATAAATCTTAGATCCAAAATTTAGCAACTTAGATGGTGTGAACCGTGTTCTAATCAATAAAATGTCGAGTTAATTCTCAATGATTAGATATAAATATGAGAATAAATGCATGCAATAAATGTGATAAATGACATTTAATGTAATAAGAAGCAATAAGTTACCCAAATGTTGGATGAGGTGGATGATTCCTTCTTCAGAGACAACGTATGACTGCATGCAATTATAGTGAACAGTATGCCCTCGGATCTTGTGAACTAAAGAAGAATGTTATATAATGGAATCAAGCAACAGAGACAAGACAAGCTTTTTGTATATTCTTGATAGTCAACTCTTTTACAGGATGTTCTTTTACAGAAGTTTTCCATTCCCCCAAATGTTCTCTCTCTTCCTATTTATAAAGGATATTCCTAGAAAACCATAAAAAGTACAATGTGAGGAAATATTCAACAGAACATTCCCAATCATAGTCACAGGAACGTTCTAACAATTGTAGTCATTGCTCTGTACCCAACCTCGGCACTGATCTTCCCCTTTGAGCGACTCCTCACCATAAATCGTACGTAATCTCAACCTCGGCCTCAGCTCGTCCATTTGCACTCGCCATGCTAGATTGAATTTTGACCCATATAGTTAGTCCCTCCGCTTATTGAGGTCATCCTCTTGGGAGAACTTGATCAGCGCATTTCATCTGTATCTAATCACAAAAATGTTCCTCTATGGTAGTCGGGTTGAATTGGTCAAGATCATATTGGTGATGGGTCGGTTCAAAGGTTGTGGTTGTCGTGGCTAACATAGGATGATGTCATGACCACGCGCGTCATCATTACCCATCTTCCCGATGCAATGCATCATTTCCAGTTCCTCTGTTTCGTCGATATTAGTGTCAGTGATAGTATCTTGTATCAATATTGGCGCCATAATATCTTATAAATAGGGAAAGGGAGGTTCAAATATGAGGCTTTTGAATTTTATACTTATTTGGTACTTTGCTTGTTCTTCTGTTTCTTCTCTGACCCTCGCATCCGATTTCCTTCTTCTTCTTAGATCCAACTTTCTCGTTAACCATACATTTCCCGTTAATTCCCTTCTGCGACTCTACTAGCATTTATTGCATAAATGACAACCCACATCGCACTTCTGATATAGCTTCTAATGCCACCCCTTTATCAGTAGCTATGCCTTCCGGTAGGACCGAACCCACGGTTACGAAAGATGAAGGTTTTCGTACTGTGAAGGAGATGATCCCTCGGAACTCGTTGGTCAGAAATGACTTTCAAAAAGAACCTACCCCCACTCCTGAGCAGGTGCTATCAGTCATGGGATCGAATTCGGTCTAAATTTTGCATTCCTTCTTTAACATCGTTCTGGCGGGG